ACGACGACGACGACGACTCAGCATAACATCCAAATCGGCGAGGGCCGAACGAATCGACGGAAGGCTGACCATGAGCGATGACAAGCACACCCATGGCCGCTGGTCTCCTCCTTCACCAAAAATTGTCCCGAAATTCAAATTCAGCTCGATTTCTTGTAGTTCTTCTTCTTCTTCCTGATTCCTAAACATGCAGCTGATTGGTGAAAATCTCTCCAGCCAGTTTCAATTGTGTTTCGAGCAAATCGACGGGATAGAATCGGGAGCTTTGTTGAGTCGTGATTGCTCAGATTACTTCCTTTTCTGTGTGGATATTACTTCGCTGCGTGTGGGCGTCTGAGTCGTGATTGCTCAGATTAGGATCTGTCGTTTTTTTTTCCTTTTTTTTTTTTACGAAAACCCATTGGAGTTGCGGAAATCGACTTTGATTGAATTTATGTGCAAAAATTAAAATCGTTTTCATTAAATTTATTTGTTAAAATGGATTAATTTTAAATAAAATTGATTGAGTTGATGATTGAGTAAAATTTTGAACTTATGTCGGGTACGACATAAAGAGCGGTCTGATCGGATTAGGTCAACCGGTAAGTCGGCCAGACATCAAGGACATTGAAGGTCGAGGAATCACCAGGTCGATGGTAACATCGCAAGGAAGAAAACTTGATGGAGACGAGACCGCGATCGCATTTCTGAATAAATATGATAGGCTTCGAGTGTAGCTCGTTTATTCTTATTTCCTCTTTTATTATTTACTATTTAATATGGTTATTTAAATAAATATCTTGCACCATGTTAGGCAAAATATATCTTAGAATAGGACTCTTAGTTATTAAAACAGTATGTTTTTTAGGATTTAAGCAGATTATTGAAATTTGATCAGATTATCGTAATTCCTTTCGAGAGAGCATCTCGTATTTTCCCATTTCGCATTACGTTCTACATCAGTTGGTATTAGAGACCAGCGTAGGAGAGACAACACCGTCGCCCACGATTCAGCATATCACCTTTCGTGATATGCTGAACATATTTCGACCGAAGTCGGTTTCGGATGCTCACCAACGAGCACTTCTTGTTGAGGTCCAAGTCGCACAGAAAACCAGCTCGTCGATTGCTTCTTCTTCTCGCCCTGAACCAGCCATGGCATCGGCTCAACAACCCACGCGTTCAACTCCTGCAACGGCTTGGAATTACGGTCAAGGCACGGGGACGGGGCGTCTGTCGACGAGCAGCGGAGGGGGCCAGCGGGCAGTAGGAGTCGGTGGACAACAGCCCTCGGCGGCTGCTTCGCGGGCCGTTGCGAGCCTGCGGTGTTTCGACTGTGGGGAGTTGGGACAGCGCCAATCGGTTTGCCCGAGGGTTTCGGGTACACGTGCATTTTTTTTCAGACGAGATGAGTGACTTGGTGGCGACTGAGGTGTATGAGGGACCACCGATTTATGATGCAGAACAGGGAGTTGTCGAGGAGTATGTGACGGGTGATATATGTACTGCTCTGGTTCTACGGCGCATTTGTCTGGTGCCACGTGGGTCGACGGATGCACTGTGGAACGACATCATCTGTTTGAGTCTACATGTACGATAGGTAATAAGATATGTCGTTTTATTATTGACTCCGGTTCTTGTGAAAATGTGACATCTTAGAAAGCAGTGGACAAGTTGCACCTTTCCACGGAGCCTCATCCACAGTCGTATACTCTTGCGTGGATTCAGAAGGGTACCACTGTCACAGTTGGCTGGCGGGTTCTGGTTTCTTTTTCGGTTGGGTCTAAATATCGCGACCAGGTGTGGTGTGGTGTGATGTGGTCCCGATGGATGCGCGTCATTTGTTATTGGGCCGACCGTGGCAATTCGATAGGTCAGCCACTCACGACGGCCGCCAGAACACCTATTCCTTTTCTTTCGGCGGTGTTAAGATTATTTTACTCCCCAATCCACCGCGCCTTCAGCCATCACCGAGTTCACCCCCATCTGTACTTGTTCTCTCTCGCGGCGATTTTTCTGTCGCCATGCGTGACTCTCTGGTGATTTTGTTACTCGTGGGTGTGGACACAGTGTCGAGCAATCGGCGCCTGCCGCCATCTGCCCTTTATTAGTGGAGTTCGCTGACGTTTTTTCGGATAATATTCCTTTCGGGT